AGAAGGCTATCGTGTAGTGGGTGTGGCTAGTGGGCTGGTGGGCTGTGTGGAGAGTGGTGTGGGGGGGGGGGGGCGGTTGGGGGGGGGGGGGGGGGGGGGGTGGGGGGGGGGTAGAATACTAAATAATTAAAAACATCAATATTTTCTTTGCTCACATGCTGTGAAAAGAGACTAATATAAAATATTTCTTATTTTCAGACACATCATATTACACTCACAACCTCTAACGTGCTCAATTTATCATATCAGATAAACTAAAACATTCGAAATGCTTTGTAGATCACTTGATCGCTATGAATAGTTTTGTGTCAACATCAGTAAACTCTAATATGGCAGAAATGTTTTCTAGTAATAGTGAACATCATTCGGGATTCGAATCGATTATATTCGAAATCATTATTGATGAATCTGAGCTTGGAGATGTGCCGGCAACTTTCGCCAATATTGCTAAAGAAAGTTTTATGCAGGATGAACAGGGAGGGAGTGCTACTAGCCACGGGCACTATAGTGTGCATTGAGTCGGTGAAACTCGAAATGTTCTGGAAAATTTTCTTACACACATGTCCGTTTGAAGATCAATTTTATCAAGATCTAAAAATGAAATTCTTAAAACCGAATCCTTCATTTGTAGTCAATGAGGATTCCGCGTTGTTAATAATTGGAAAGGTACTAGCAGCTATGGGTGAGTATGAAAAAGCAGAACAGATTTTTCAACAGAGGGGATCATCAATTCGTCCTATCTTTGACAATGTTCGTGAGTTGTGGAGAGCGCTCGCAGGATTGAGTCAAATAGGCATTACTGATCGTAATGCATTGTACCTAAGATAGATACTTGATATACATTGTTTTCTTTTTGGTTATCGAATGCCCGAAAAAATAAATCTATAAGACTTTTGATTTACTGATGTAAAATTTTTCATAGATTTTCTTTTCTTTTAATATTAAATCTGAACAATAAAATAATTTGAGAACATCCATAAATTACTCAATGTGAACATATGAAAATGTTAAAAAAAACACATCATCTACTTAGCTGTTATCATATCCACTTTCTTGTGACACTTCAACTTCATCAACAAACAAAACATGGTTAATTCCCAAACGAGGATTACCTGATGAAATAGCTTTTACATTTACTTGATGACCTCCAATGTCAAAAACTATTTCACCTCCTTCATCTGAAAATGTGGCATCAGCTTCAATACGTTGACTATTAACCCATAGATCAAGTGTATCTTTTTCTAAAACAATATGATAATCCTATCCATCTAGTTGTTAGTGCTCATGTTCGACTTATTTTCGAGCGATTTTCACTAAATTTTTCTAATGGTTTTGCATCAACGTCTAGTGAATATTCACAGACAAAACTGCTAACAGCATCAAGATTAATTGTACAATATGATGTTGACCAATTGTAAATGTTTCTTTACCAACAAGTTTAAAAAGGCAATCATGAAGAAGAACTTCTTTATTGTCAACGCGAATTACACGTTTACCAGACGTTGTACCACTATAAGAAGATAAGAATTAAGAAAATGAGAATTGTAAGGTGTTGTTAAAATTTACTATTCAAACTCTATTTTATGAACACCATCTGAAAGCGGTACTTGCCAACTTTCGGCTACATCACTCATTGCAAAACGAAAAACATGCGAAATATCATAGAGTTCACAGCTATATGGCTTTAACCTACTCGGAGTCATCAACTATTTCGTCACTAAGGGTGTGGGTGAGGGTGTGGGTGGGTATGGGTTCAAAGAAGACTCACACCCACACCGACACGCACACACCCACACCCACACCGGCACGCACACACCCACACCCACACCGGCACGCACACACCCACACCCACACCCACACCCTTTTGAATTAAGGTTATTACCGTCTCTTTTGTACGATGTTTTTGAAAACACTAGTGTATGACAGTAGAGTTTAAACTCAGTTTAGTAAGAAAATATGTGGGTAGGCCTGTATAAAAATAAAAATGAAGACAAGTTTCATTTCTTACTTAAAAAAACGGAACTGCTCATGAAAACCATTGATAATCACTTTATATTTTACCATTTACTTATTACACAAAAACTCTGATATTGAAAATATGAGGATCGTCAAAAACTAACGATTATCCGAATAACTGACAATAATTAGAAACAATATCGACGTAAATATCAACCGTTTGAGCCATTGATGGAATTGATATCCACTCGTCTACTCCATGAACATTGCCTCCAATTGGCCCAAACCCACAAATTGTTGGAATACCACTCCCAATTAACATATATCCTTCGTTAGCTGGACCACATCCATTGGTTGTAGGAATAATGTTGAGTATCTTTTTAACTGCATTCACACAAGAGAGAACTAGTGGATGATTTGAATCAATTGTTGCAGCTGGTAATTGATTTTTAATTGTAATAGAGGCTGACAATCGAGTAGATGAGGTTGAATTAAGTGATATTTTACGATAAAATTCATTTCTTTCATTAATTATATTTTCCATAATATCTTCAATTTTTTTCAAAATATCGTCAACAGATGTCGATGGCATTAGACGAATGTCAACCATAGCCGAAGCATTCGACGGAACGACAGATACAAAACCACCGCCATTAACGATCGTACCTATAAACAAACATTTTTTTCTTAAAGTAACGTAGATATTTCAAAGGACTTGCTCGTATAACGTCATTTTGCAGTCGAAAATAACCTAGTGGGTGAAAAATTATTTAAATCACATCTATAGCGTATGTACATTCTGAAATTGATTAGCAATGTGACTTCTAAGCATGTATACTGTAGTTATCAGAGATCCACATTACTACGCATCTGGACATATGCATTTCTATCGTCTATTTAAAAATTGCATAAATGTTGAATGCTGATACTGTGAGGAAAATACACTTATCATACCAATGAACGAAAGAATGTAAACAGAAGTTAATCGTACCTGGAGTTACAGTCAATGTTAAATCAGGAAAAGATGGATCTTTATCGTTGCTCCACGCATGATCTTCCAATGCTATTAAAATTCGAGCTAAAGTAGTTGACTGTGTGGAATAACAAAAGATAAAGTTAGATATAAAACAAAAACAAATAAACGAACCGCATTAGCTCCTTTCATTTTAGTATTCCATTCTATACTTCCGGTATGGACATTTTCACCCTTGACGTCAATTTCTAATCTTAATAGTCCTCGATGTCCAATAGTAACATTTGTACCTGGATAGACATAGATAGCACCAGAGCCCGAAATTAACTTTCTATCTAATAAATAACGAACACCAATTGATGAACAAGCACCACTTTCTTCATCAACAACACATGCTAATTGAATACTAACATTTAAATTTTGTTCTAAGTTGTAATGTATATTGAAAAGACATTTATCTACTAAATAATTACTTTACCATCAATAACTTGTTGAAGCAAATACAATGTGTACAAAGCACAAACGATACCACCTTTGTTGTCACATGAACCACGTCCAATAAGTCTTTGAGTTTTGTCATCAATCATGCCGGCATATGGTGCAAATAACCATTGAGTTTCATCTTCAACATTTACTGTATCCATGTGACCGACAAACAAAAACTTTGAAGGACCATTTCCTAAAATAAATCAGCTGAATGATAAATTTTGCTTGTCAAACAAACAGTGAGACACACCAGCAGTGACAATTACATTTGGTCGATCTTCTTGATTGGGTGCTGATATTAAATCATATTTTAATTTTAAACTTTGACACTCAACACAGATTCGTTGAGCAACAAAACGTTCAGGATTAATTCCACAAACCGAACGAATACGTATCAAATCACATAAAAATGAGGCCATTGATGATACTAAAGATGAAGGTACTTTAGAAGTCATTTTCTGAAAAGAAAAGTCATTATCAAGTATTGAGTATCAATTTGTACGATATTTCTTTACAATAAGAATAAAAGTCTAAATTGCTCTTAGAAACATTGATGTTTAATGGTAACTTAACAAAAACTTCGATCATTCAAGATGATAACGAGTTAGCGTCCCCAATTCGAATCATACAGCTTTATCAAAAGAAAAGAAAATATATAGGTTGAAAAATACGACCAACCAAAAAAATAGAATACAGAAAAAAGAAATAAATTATAAAATAAAATATGCCCACTATAGATGACAGTGGCATGTGTTGAAAAAAAATTGATGACCTATATGTAAAATAGGATTGCTCTTCAAATATGTAGACTAATTTTGAGATCAAAGGGCGAGAGGAGAAGGTAGTTAGTTAAGAGAACGGAACAAACCTTCTAATAATTTTTCACAGTTTTTTTATTATTAAGCATTGTCTAGTCCTATGACCATGTCAGCCCGGAAGGAACCACACACAGTTTGAACATCTTATGTACCGATAATGCATTCAAGTGAAATAGGATAAACAAAAGAAAAATTATTTAAAATAATCAAAAGACAAGAAAAAGGATAACAGAATAAGAACAAAGAAGAATAACACAACAGAAAACCTGCACAAGAATACCTGATTGACGCTATACGACATAGAACGACCTTCTAAATAGCATTCCTTTTCTTGTTGATACGTGCATATATAATGCAACCATAGATTTATTCTCTAGGGGAGAAAAGCGTATTTCTGAATTTCCGTATTTCTATGTATTTCCAGGCATTTCTACCCATAGTACGTAGAAATACTTAGAAATAGGCTTTCCCCTTGATATGTTCACTGTATATTTATCGATTAGCCAATGAAATGAAAATTGAATTTTGACAGGCAAAAAATTTATTTCTTCTAACTGTTGACTTTTTTCTAACATTAGTATCAAAGTGATGTCATGTCACGTCGATCCTGTGAGGGTATTAGTCTAGAAGAATAGACGATGCATTTCAATACCTACATCCTTGTCTTCGAAAAGGAAAAAAAAGATCTTTGAGCAAAACATCCACACTCAAACACATGCACATGAAATACGTGCAAAATCATATCGAATCTTTAATACAGTTCATTAAGCAAATTTTGTTTCAAAAAAAGAAAAAAGATGAAAAGATTATTATTGTACTGACAGCAAAGAGAGAATAAACAGATGTTTATTAATACAAATCAAGAACAGTTTCTTTTTCATTTTTGATTACAAAATAAATCTATAGAATTGAGAGCGTTTGATTCTCTCTTATATCATGTACAGAATAGAAAAAGCTAAAATTCGATTTAACGTCATCTCAAGAGTGGATGTGGGTGAAAAGAATATTCACAGCTACACTCGACGTTTACACCCTCGCTTGAGTTGGTAAAACTAGCATTAATGCAATATTTTTGTGTTTGGATGAGGGCATCTAATAATTATGGTACATGATCGACTGCTACTATATGTCCATGGGCATGATATTAGATCAGGAATGAAGCCTTCTTTAGTTTGAGAAATCTTTGTTATCCTGAAAATTTGAAGGGGAGCGTGGGTCCTATAATTTTACCATAGCCTTACTTCGAAAAAAGAGAATATTTGGAGAAGACATGACTTAAGGAAATGAAGGAAGAAAAGTATCTTATTTGTTTAAAGATTGACGATCAAACTAAGAAGTTTGTCTTGTGACTGATCGTCTTTATTCTAAAAATTAAAATAGAATCTAACGGGTTGGTGATAATTCAATCGTGATTTAAAGGGAAACGAAAAATCAAATTACCGTTTTTTAGAAATTGAATTTGTGTATGGGTTCATTTCTACTTTTCTATCTTAATGGGTCAGTTGTTAAACTCAATAATGCCTAATTTAAACGCATGATTGAACAATGAAAATAATTGTTGTTTAAAGTATGAACATCATCTACGATACTGAGTGTCTAGTCATTTGATGTCAATACAACAGTAGAAAGAAAAAAGCATAGAAACCATATCCTATGCTCCCAACAAAAACTAATCATTTTACTTTTGAAGAAAAACAATGAATTATGAAGGATCTATGATAAATATCAAGCTGTGGATACTAACAGATTCTTTTCGAACAAAGTCATTGAAACAACACAGAAACTGGACAATCATTATTGTTTTCATTACATATTTATTAACTTCATTTGTCTTAGTGAAAGTTAGAGATGTACAAGACCAAATGTTTCTCGTCCCCATTCAGAGAAAACTATTTCAGAATTTATTTGCATCATTCCTGAAAAATTCTTCAACGGTTGCTTTTGTATTTATTTAGTCCATAACTAACACTTTTTGCGTTCTCCATCTTGAATTATGTTTTCATTGATATGATTTATAAGATAATTCGCTTAAAACCGTATAAGATTGAACGACATTTTTCAATTTCTGTTGAAACAATCTTTTTCTCGCTGTCCTTTATGATTCCTGTAAAACTTCATATATTGGTCCTGTATACTTCTAATGATGATGGTTGAGAGTGCATTTTTAGTGGAATTTGAACTTATTCTCTCACCTTCATGATATGTTAAAGGGCAATTTCAAACTTCGTCTTTCCAACTTTGATAAGGTGATTTTTAAAAAGTCTTTACTTTACTCAATTGTTCGTTGTCAGTTGTTATTATTAATTTAATAATCTATATTCCTTCATTTAATTGTTCAGTACTTTCAATTTGAAAAAATTTTTCATAGATAATAAAACTTTATTTCCAGTCGTGAGATAAT